AATACTTCTGCAAATACAACCTTCTTGCTCAAGGTGCGTGGAGACATTAGCGTGGTGATGTCTATGGGTTGCAGTAGCCACTGAAATATTGAAAATGACTGTTTTTTTATGTTTGAGGGATTACTTGTGGCTCAGAGGCCTCTCCAGTTTCAAAAGGGCAGATGAGCAAGCAAAGACTCAACCAGGAGGGGTGAAATTTGCTAACAGCTGCCCGAGCGCCTCCGAAGGAGACCTAATAACTCAAGGGCAGCTGCTTCGCGAATGAATCTACTACCGGATCGGAATCGCAATTGAAAATTTGTGATTAATAATTGTTAATTAGCTTGAACATTATTTTGAAGTTACATTACTGTGAGTTCGATAGGATAAGAAGCTAATAGTACCTTTTGCGAACGGCTTTTCTGTCTGAGGATCGAGATTATCATTGAATAGTTCATACATAGTTTACTGGTGGTAGGAGCTCCACACGGTTAGGTACCACCACCCCGCTTATTTCTGCCATGAAGCAGTAATGCTTAATTTAATGCAGTAATTTAAGATTTGTAGGTTTGAATTAATTTTAAATCCTCCTCCGCCTCATGTCGTTTTCCTGATTACTGAGGTTCGTGACTCCCCCGCTGCATCAGTTTCTCCCATACGATTTCCCTCCATCTACTGCGATCATGAAGAGCATTATAGAAGCTTATGTTCAGAGAAGATCGTAATTTTAAATAAAAGACTACAAAATTATCATTAGGTATTTCAAGTGCATCCTCAAAAGTGATACGCGATTTTTAACTTTATGTTCTACACATTTCTAATGTGGTGTCTTCTTTTAAGAGTGTAACTATATCTACTTTGGCATATTTTAATTTAATGCGTACCATGTGTACACCATATGTATTTTAATAAAGAAAGAAATTACATAAAAGTTTAATTCAGCAGAAGAAATAAAGACCCGATTGCTAAGTAATAAATTACTTTATTGACTAGAATAAATTTGATACATGTTTAATTAGAATTAAATTATAACAATATGTACAACATAAAGGAAAATTCTAGAGATTGTTCTTAACAATTTAGAAGTTATACTTCAACGGCATTATATATATAAAGATACAGTTGATGATAGTGATACACAATACAGGGGGCTAAGTCGGTGCTCACGGCTCGTCCAACTAGGCTTGACCCCCTGACCCACTGACCCCCCGACCCCAATTGTCGAAACCTTGGGTATATTATAGAATTTTTTACAGGTGGTAGGACCTCTTGTGAGTTCGCGCGGGTAAGTACCACCGCCCTGCCTATTTCTACCGTGAAGCAGTAATGCGTTTAGGTTTGAAGGGTGGCGCAGCCGTTGTAACTATAGTGAGACCTTAGAACTTATATCTCAAGGTGGGTGGCGCATTTACGTTGTAGATGTCCACGGGATCCAGTAACCACTTAACAACCAGGTGGGCTGTGAGCTCGTCCACACATTTAAGCAATAAAAATAAAAAACGCATCAAAGGGGAATGCCCATTTCAGGCCCAAAGCGGACAATAGAGTAGAGAAAAAATACTTAGTGCATTAATTTTGTCATCAATAAATATGCATTTACTTTCTTCCAAATAAGCGCCACTACAGTTTACAATAAGTAGTTTAAAAAAAGTAAATCTGTTGAAAAAAACAAGATTTTTATTTTTGCGGGAAAAATATTGCCAGCATCAAAACCTTTTACGTATTAAGTAAACTTTTTAAGTATATAATAAAAACATATAAATAAATCATTTTAAGTATTATCATTAATCAATCGATTTTAATCGATTATAAGCACATAAAATAACATCAAAGACACCCATTGGACTTTAACTTGTTACTGAGACCTTAGAACTTATATCTCAAGGTGGGTGGCGCATTTACGTTGTAGATGTTTGTGGGCTCCAGTAACCATTTAACATCAGGGTGGCTGTGAGATCGTCCACCCATCTATACAATAAAAAAAAACTTAACTTGTATTGTTATTTAAATATGTACAACTAAAATAAAAACATAAAAAATAATGTGTACTCGTAAAAAAAGATTAAGAAATAAATAAATTATCGGTTATTTAAAAAAATGATCGATATATGAATTTCATGAAATTATTTTTCTTTATACTGACAACACTGATTTTAATCTGACTGACTGACACTTCGCTCGCTGCTTGTGCTTGCATTCAAAATTGATGTGTTTTGATTTTTCTTCGATTTATTTTGCTTTTATCAATAACGTTTCATACTCCGACTGAAAAACATTGTGTGAATTGTGGTTTTAACCTGACCGATATTTAAAACCGTGTATATGCTCTCCTGTGCTATTTTTAGATGATTTACTAATTGTGTATGAAGATGAAGAAAATATAGATATTTAAAGAAGTATGTGTGTTTTTTATACCTTAATAACTACAATTGGATAAAAATACATTAGGAACATCTTAAACATTAAAAAAAGAAAAGTTCTTGAAGTATGTATATAGAAAATTAACCTCAAAACGAGTTTTTATTTTTATTATATTTTTTATAATAGTGGCGTCAATTTCAATATATTTTTTAGATATCTAATACATTTAAGAATTTGAATCAGTCCATTTTTATAGTAATATTTGATGTCCACCTTGGGCCTAGCACACTATGGAGAGTGGGCATTCCCCTTTATATATCCAAAAAAGCTGCACCTTATTAATTTTAAAATTTGAATACATTTACAACTATTTTAGACCAAATTACTTTCCAATTACAATTCCTTACTTAAATATGTAGATTTAGTCATGCTATTCCTATCAAAATACAATCTCGTACTGGCCCTGAGCCCGCGACCACTCCGGCAGGTGGCCGAAGGTGGGGTCCGTGTGATGGCACTCCCACCTCACACCTTGGCTTGAAGTGGCTTGCACCAGGTAATTCTATTCCAATGGGTAGAGCTGTCGACTTACACGCGAGCACACACGAGCACTTCAACCCTACATGTACAGACTATTCTAACATATCCGTCTCAATGTGCTGACCGCAGCCAGATTGGTGTCCTTTGCACTGACGACAATAGAGACCACGTTGGGTGAGTCGTCTGCGGATACCCAGGAGAAGTTCGTGCTTGATTAGACAGTATTTTTTAAGTTTAATTTAAAAGGATTGTGTGGTTTTGTGAAACCACGATAGAAGTGAAACTTTTTTTCACATTATAGACATTTAACTAAAAATTTTTGGAATAATATTCCATTAAGGGTATAATAATCATTAATCTTAATTTAATATTCAGACGAAATAAGTTAAATAATAAAATCAAGCACTCAAAATCGGACTATAAGCGCCGCCATACTTGACTAAGGCCTTGACTGCTCTGACGAGCGCCTTTCACTTTATCCCGACTCCACGGCCGACCGTCACGCGACATGCGACATACAGACGAAAAAGTTTGAGACGATGTAATAAAAGTTTCGCTAATTTGAATAAAATTATATACGATTTCGAACTACAAGTGCTCTCGCCCAGGGCTGGCCTTGTCGCAATAGGACCCATAGCCAATACATATATATTCGCTCGAGAATTTCCAAATCTCGTTTAAAGAGAAACATTTCATACTTACATTTGTATCCCAATTAAAAAAACTAGATGTATTGTTTTATTACTTTGCTACTAATCTTTTGTCCAGTTCAAACTTTAAACTGATCAATTCGATGTAGTGACGGCCACGGACACTGTTCTTGTAGATTCAAGGCTCACGGATGTTCCGCTGTAGCCGGAACCCATAAATACCACAGCATACATTGTGCCGCCTTCACGTTTAACTATTCCAGATAATTTAGTTAATTGTCAAGAAACCTTCCAGATAAAATGGACAATCTCCTAAGACTATAGAATTTTACGTCCCTTGATCTAAAATGCCAACATCTCCAAAAGGCGAGATTTCAATTAACTTAAAAACAAGAGTTATTGGTGTTATAAAATATATAAAATTTTCTATTACGTTGGAGCTATAGATAAACACCGGTCGAAATATAAATTCTTGCTACGCTGTCAACTTAAGAATAAACGATGCGATGTTTTAAATGAACTGTGGCTTGACGGTGCGTACGCCTCGCGCGTCCCCCGCGTGTGCCCCCCACGATCCCCCCGCAGGCCCCGCGTGCGACCCCCACGGTACCCCCGCGTGTGGACCCCGCGCACCGGACGGGCGGCTGGAACCCGGCTGCGAGTGGCTGCGGAAGGTGACCGTGGTGCAAGTGCGGCCGCTAGACGTGTTGGACTTTTGACGTAATCCTTGCATCTGCAACCAGAAGTCGACGATCTTAGGGAACATACGAAAACGTTCGCTTCGAGGACAAAATGTTCAATTTGCTTCTATTGAGTTCTTTCTAGTTAGCGGTAGGCAGCGGCTTGGCTCTGCCGCTGGCATTGCTGAAGTCCATGGACGACGGTAACCACTCACCATCAGATGGGCCGTATACTCGTCTGCCTACAAGGGCAATAAAAAATAGTTTCTGTGCTTGTTAAAGATCACTGAAACGAGTTTTATTTTGTTAGACGTCAGTTATAAAACGTGATGGCCATATAATACAATGTCTAATATATAGTCTACGTGATGACGGTTATTATTATTATTCATATAAATAGCTGTTTCTTTGTATATTATTATTATTTTGCTTTTTTATAAATCACCGTGAATAAAATAAAGTTGACAACTTTGTAACATAGTTTATTTTTTATTTTTATCAATAACAAAATCATTATAGAAAACGTATATCCGAATAATTATTTTCTTTTTGCCTCGAATAGAACTTAAAATTAATATTTTTATAATAAGGAACTTCGTTCCTATCCGGTGTCCCACGACACCACACATCGTCCCACACATCTTTTTTTTAATGTTAAAAGAGGGCATGATCTCTAAGATATTATGTTCTGAGCCGCCGACAACCAGCCACTTCTCAATGAGTAGGTTATATATACCTCTCTAAGTCAAAGGGCTCTAGTTCAATTTTCAGCCTCACTGCTCTCATTCCCTTACCCTTCTCTAGCCTTCGAAACATTGGCTGCAAAACACGTTAATACAATTAGTGTTAGTGGAGAGTTCCAGTAACTCGTTAGTGATAAACGACTGAACGTGTGTGAACTCACATGGAAATGAGTATTAGAGTTTATGTTACCAGGATCGTGACAAATCAGCTTGCGCAGGGAACGCCTGAAGTTGCGCGTCATTAGGCAGTACACTATCGGGTTGATTGCCGAATTCGCGTGCCCTGGAAAACGTAAATAGGTTTCTGATTATCAAACCGGGAGACATTAGAGGCGTCTGTTCCGATGTGCGCAGTTAGAACATTTCAAAACTGAGCCACCGTTTGTCTATATCTATACTAATATTATAAAGAGGAAAGATTTGTTTGTTTGTTTGTTTGTATTGAATAGGCTCCGAAACTACTGAACCGATTTGAAAAATTCTTTTACTGTTTGGAAGGTACACTATTCCCAAGTGACATAGGCTATCTTTTTTGAAAAAAAAATAGGATTCTTACTAAAACTCCAATAATGTAACCAAAGGTGTAAAAATTTTAGGTGCGAAAACTATTGATGATAGAATAAAATAATGTACTACGACTTTGTAGAACACATCATTATTTACAAAAAGTGTCGCGACAACATATGTTATTATAGTTATGCCGCAAATATCGTTGAAATATTTGTCAAAGACTCGAGCGGAGCCGAAGCGGGACGCTAGTAAGCTAATACTTTTGTATGCGGTTGACCTAAATATTACAAACAGGCTCCAAGGAAATGTCAAAGAACTGTATATTACGAATCCGCACGAAGATTGTTTTTGCTAAAAACGAAATTTGCCTTTATGTTTCTGATGTTGAAAGTATTGTCAATGTGAGTGGCATGAAGAGGGTTCGGCTACTTTGCTTTTAGTTTATATACCAATATTTTAGAAGCTGAAAGAATTTCACAGTATTATAAATCTCCAAACAGAAGTACACCTGAAGATTGAAATTTGTAAATATTACCCCTATGAGTTTTTATTAAAATCACGATATTGCACAAAGGTGCACTTTTCTTTCAAATGACCGTTTCTAAGAGTTTTGCACTCACTATATGCATATTTCTTTCAAAGTTTGTTTTATCACGAATTACCTTAAATCTAAACTTTTCATTTAAAAATTTAATAACCTTAAAATATTTACATAATATACTTTTATTATTTTTCTAAAATGATTTATAAATGTGTAAATCATAAACAGAATGACAAATTGAGTAAAACGTGGTAATAGGTGTCCGGGCACTGTCAATATCGATACGCGACGGCAACCACATACCATCATGCATATTTCTAATTCTTATCCGGATTATTCCCTTCTAATTAAACTTACAGGAATGTTCCTGCAATGGTATGGGCGTACCATGAGAAATTCGGATGAGCGATTTCCAAACTCGTTAGAGATAAAAAGTGCGCAGACCCCAATTAATAAATATATTAGATATTTAAAAATCCTTCCACATATCTTCTAAAATATAACCCGGACTCGACGGCTATCCGTAACATATTATTTGGCGCCCACTATAAGGAGAGCTGCTCTTAGATTTGAAGAAAGGCTCGAAGAAGAACAATATATTGCCTGCATAATGAGAAACGTATTAACAGCTTATTTGCTCAGCCCCTAGACGTTGTTGGAAATTAGCCTTTATGTCCGACGACATAAGTAATTGACAAAACGTTATATAGCTAAAAATATGAGAAAGATATCATGGTAGTTAAATTTAATTATCTGCAAAATAAAGAAGGCAAAGTATTTCAAAACTATTTTCATCTTGATGTAGTGAAATTCGAAACAAGAGTCCTATTTTCAGCTTTCAATATGGAAAGTGCTTCTTCAGTCTTGAAGTGATAATTGATTGCCTTCCCGGTAACCATCTTTGCCAAACCCGTCGCTTTCGACGAAGGGCTCGGCGAGTAAACTAACCCATAGACTGAGTTTCACTGAGTTTCTCACCGGATCTTCTCAATGGGTCGCGTTTCCGATCCGGTGGTAGATTCTGCGAAGCACGGCTCTTGCTAGGGCCACTGTTAGCAACACTCCGGCTTGAGCCCCGAGAGATCACCTATACGCTAGGATAAAGCTGATGCAGCCTCTCACAGCTATCAGTATAGGTAGAAAAAAAACATTGCCTTTGACAGGAATAAAATCACCTTTACTAATATTTATTATTAATTAATTAAATTATGTCTCGTATGGACATTTGGAATTTAATTTATGTAAAATTAAACTCTGATTTTTTGATTGACTGTTTTATTGTCACAGTATATTTCTATTGGTTTACCTCGACGTGAGATAAACCTTCTCAAGGTCATTATAAATGCGTCCTTGGATAAATCGCTGACCGCTTCCAGATGCAGGCATTTATAACGTAAACAAACGAACACACACAAATAACATTTAATCAATTTAGCGCCGCGCCCTTTGCGATTGAGTATGAGAAACGGGCCGGCAAAGTCTAGANGCAACGCAATAACTGCAACACGGTCTTCTTTAAGCGTCCACTCCATATTTAAAAATGAGTAAAATTCTAAAAGTTATACATTTTTATTTTCATGAACAATTCGAAATTCGAATTCAATAAACTTTTTTGTGGCCAGCATTCTAAAAGAAAAGTTTTTACTGTGTGACAATACTTATGACCTGACTAGTTATATATATATATATACATACGCACGTAGGTATGTATATTTTACACTTATGTATATTTTACAATTTGTTCGATATTTTGTTGCCATTTTGTATGTGAGCACAATCCTATTTTTGTTGACATTTTGGACTTTGATCAAAAAACTTCGGCAGCTAGTTTCGCAGTATTATCGTTTTTAGAGAGCATTCACATTCTTAACATCTAAAAATTTACATTAAAAAGGAAAAGGTCAACTATATATTATACTCTAATAATAAAAGTAAATGTAAACTTAATTATAACATAGTAAGTAGAATTAATTATTTTTATTGTCTTGTAAGTATAACATTAATTGGCAAAGGTTATTTTTATCTAAATTTGTTTTCAGCTAAACGATTTAATGCAAAGTAACAAACGGCTTAAAGATACTAGCACCATCTCTTGGCACGACAGTGATACTACTGCGAACAGACGTAATGAAATCAATGAAATTAAAATTATGCGGGACTAGGAATGATAATTAGATACTGTGAATTAAAAGAAAAACAGTTATACATTTTCTGTAAGGGAATACACCTAATTAATAATCGTTTCCAATAAAATGACTGTAATTGTTATTGAAATGCATCTAGTTAATACATTCACCGTTAGATGGCGCTTTTGAAAATTAATTTTAAACAGTATTTTTAAAGAACACTAATCAATACACAATTTTGTGCATAAAATAAATATACCATTGATATTATTTATAATGTTTTTAAGGTGATAAATGACAACAATTAAGATTATTCACATCGGCTCGCAGATTGTACTCTTATCTCAAGGTGGGTGGCGGCATTTACGTTGTAGATGTCTATGGGCTCCGGTAACCACTTAACACCAGGTGGGCTGTGAGCTCGTCTAGCCATCTATGCAATAAAAATAAATAAATAGAAACTTGGATAATCCACCTCTATCGGTTCCTGTCCATGGCCCTTCAGACCACCTTCTGAACTTGGGTGAAGATGAGTCCGTAATCAGGTTGGAGGCCGTCCTCTCGTTCTCTCGCCCTCCGTATTCTCAACTGTGATCAGCCATTTTTATTGCTGAACTCCGCTCAGACGCATCAACAGAATTGATGCGCTCGGCGATCCAAGGTCTGTAGCAATCGCCTCCAGCACCAGATTTTGAATAAATTAGATAGTAGAATAGTAGATATTTATAAGATCTAAAATGAGAATATAATAGATGCGGTAGGACCTCTTGTGAGTTCGCACGGTTAGATACCACCATCCTGCCTATTTTCCGCCGTGAAGCAGTAATGCGTTTCGGTTTGAAGGGTGGGGCAGCCGTTGTAACCATACCGGGACCTTAGAACTTATATCTCAAGGTGGGTAACGCATTTAGGTTGTAGATATCTATGGGCTCCAGTAACTACTTAACACCAGGTGGGATGTGAGCTCATCCACCCATGTAAGGTCGAAGTACTTTTTATGTTCATGCGATTGACGGACTAAGTAATGGTTTAATTAACAATTAAGATATGTAGGTTTGAATTATTTTAAAATAAAAAACTACAAATTGTCATTAGGTATTTCAAGCGCATCCTCAAACGCGATACGCGATGTTTAACTTAATTTTGAACACATTTCTATTGTGGTGTATTGTTTTAAGAGTGTAACTATATCGACGCTTGAAAGGCAAATGTGACTAAGCGACAGTGCGTGAACTTTACAGTAGACTAATTTATAGGTGAAATATGTACCTGAAAAAAAATCTATTTTAACGAATCTAGCTGTAGGATTGAAATGATTTTAATAGACCCAGAAATATATATTTTTTTGCGCATCGAATATGGTTATTGCTGCCTATCATTTATGTACAAAGCAGTTATTGTCGCTTAGTCACGTTTGCCTTTCAAGCGTCGATATGTACTTTGGTTTATTTTAATTTAATGTATATCATATTATGTACACCATATGTATTTTAATAAATAAGGAAAATAAAGAAAAGTTTAGTTCAGCAGAAGAAATAAAGACCCAACTGGTAAGTTATAAATTATTTTAATGACTAGAATAAATTTGATACAAGTATAACTAGAATTAATTTATAACAATATTTACAACATAAAGGGAAATTCTAGAGATTGTTCTTAACAATTTAGAAGTTATACTTCAACGGTCTAAATAAAGGTACAGTTGATGATAGTGATACACAATACGGGGGGCTAAGTCGGTGTTCGCGGCTCGTCCAGCCAGGTCGGACCCCTGACCCCCTGACCTGCTGACCCCCGGGTATGGGACGCGTGGAGCGACAGATGCTTCCAACTGTTAAAACCTTGGGTATATTATATAATTTTTTACAGGTGGTAGGACCTCTTGTGAGTCCGCACGTGTGGGTACCACCACCCTGCCTATTTTCACCGTGAAGCAGTAATGCGTTTAGGTTTGAAGGGTGGGGCAGCCGTTGTAACTATAGTGAGACCTTAGAACTTATATCTCAAGGTGGGTGGGGCATTTACGTTGTAGATGTCCACGGGCTCCAGTAACCACTTAACAACCAGGTGGGCTGTGAGCTCGTCCACACATTTAAGCAATAAAAA